TTTTTTTTTGGAATAAACACAGTCGAAATTTTATTGCAAAAAGGGAACCAGAGGCCTGGGATGAAGGGCCTCGCTACATCTCTCACTAAAAAGGGAACCACAGTCGACATTTGAGGAGCAGCCCCTGGTCCAATCGTGATGAAGGGCCTGGCTGCACTACTCTTGAAATGCAGAAAAGACAAAAATCATGTCGCTGTATCTTTCCATGTTCTGGCGGAAGATTCACTCTCGTTTTGCACCTTTCGAGAGTAACCACTCAGCAAATGTGCAAACATGGAAAAAAGATACAAGGGCATATTTCTTGTCTTCTATGCATATTTGGTGAGTAGTGCAGTGACCCCCCCCCCCCCCCCCCCAAAAAAAAAGAAAAAGAATAAGACAAGGAGCTGCAGAATAAAGGACGTCTATTTAAAAAAAAAAACAAAAAAAAAACGAAGAAGCAAGATCTGGTGCAAATGACACAGAACCAATAGGGGCCGTCCTGGGGCCGTCTTGGATCGCCTCACACACGTTTTTTTCTTGTCCCGCACCCGTCTTACAGTTTGCCAAGGGGTCCTTTGGGACATCCATTAAAATTGGAACGATACAGAGAAGATTATAGTTTTTAAAAGCATTTCTTATCATTAATTGCCGGAAAACGGGTCCAGCGTCCCTTACATTTATTCCGTGGCCTTGCAGCTGTCTCTTATACACATCTAGATGTGTATAAGAGACAGGATATATATCGGTTTTTGTGTGAAAGTCTGTAATTTCTTATATCACCTTCCGAGGGCAGGGGATATGAGTAGACTTATGTTGTCGTATTGTTTACTTTTTTTTTTTTTTTTTTTCGTATTGTTTACTATTATATAACACTTGCAATAAATATGACTGTTGATTTTTAATGAAATTTTGCTGAGAGTTTTTTTTTGTTTACTGTTTACTGTTATATAACAAGTATTAAGAATTGATTCTTGCAATTAATATGACTGTTGAATTAGAATGAAATTTTCCTGAGAGTTTTTTTTTTTTTTTTTTTTTTTCCGTGAATAGTAGTGAATAGTACTGAATACGTTATTTCTGATTTGTCCGTTCATCTGGCATGGGCCTAGGATCATCGTAATCTCACCTGCCTCCAAAAAAAAAAAAAAGAGAAAAGAAAAGATTTGAATGTACGTCTGGGATCTCTAGAGGGCATCCCGATCTCGGTACACCTCTCTTCCATACCGTTATGAAATAAAAATCAGTAAATATATTACGTATTAAACTAAAACTAAAAATAAAAATCCCAAAAGAAATGTTACTTTTTACGTAATTTTAACTAATTTACTATTTTTTTGATATGTCCGTTCATCTGAGCGTTGGCTCAGACCATCGTCATCCCCCTTCTTCCTGTTGTTTTATTCCTCTAAGATTTCGACGTGCCACCAACGAACCTAACTCAGTTTTTAGTTT